AAAAGAAAAGAAAAGAAAAGAAAAGAAAAGAAAAGAAAAGAAAAGAAAAGAAAATAGAAAAGAAATAGAAAAGAAAAAAGGACTGATGTTAATTCTGTAATTTAAGAACCATACATCTGAAGCATCCAGTGTTTTACTAATGCCTTTTCATGACCCTAGGGGAAATGACTTTTTGCTTAGAGAGGAGGAAGAAAAGTATTAATAAGGCAGGTAGAAAAATGGATGGCTTGTAGTGGACTTGTGATGCCATGTTGCTTATCTCTGCTGAAGTCATGTAACCGAAAGATTAGCAGAATACACTTCACGGTGTAAACACAGAATAAACTTCGTGAAACTCGAATTTTACAAGATGAAAGTTCTGTTCACTTTTCTAATTAGTGTTGAATCAAGTAAACCAGACACAGTACTAGACACAGTAGGAATTTTTTAGGAGCTTTACATATATAAAATACATGTAATGACAATAAAAAATAAGAATTTTTTATAGTTAAAGTCAAAAGAGACTTTTTTGAGCCAGTGTTTTCTCTAATTCGTCAAGATACTGTGGTCACAATGTTTTCTAAATGCTGCCAAGTTTGTCCACTGCTTCAAGATAGCCTAACTTACGCATCCCCAAGACAATCCCAATTTTATCAGGACTTCTGCAGAGAGTATAGTAGTTTGGGAAAATGAAAAGTAAAAGACAAAAAAAAAAATCATACCCTCATCACTCAAATGTAAGCAAAGTGAAAGAGCACAAACGCTCCTATGCTTTTTTTCTTTTTTTGAACCACTTCTATTTGAAGCATTGTTCTCAAGGTTGAAGACACATTCTTCCCTTCCCAGACATGCCCCTCTAGCCCACAACTTTGGTAAGACCCTGTTTGATTTTTCTGGGTGAAGAACTGATTATTTGTCTCATTTGACAATCCCAGACATCTTTCCCTCCTAATGATCACTAATTGCAGCTCTAGAATGTGTCTTTTGGTCTAGGACAGAAAGAAACTGCCTGACAACAAAATCCCACCTGAGGACCTAAACCCTTTTCAGTAAGTCTCTGGGTTGCTGCACTTGAAGATTCTTTTGATGCAGATCCCATTAGCAAAATCACAGGTTTCCAGGGTTGAAATATACACACTGGATACAGGAATACAGTTGCCGTAACTATGATGCAACTAAGCTCTTGGGGCAAGGGCAGAACATGCAGACCTGTGGGAAACCCTGGGATGCCGACTTCAGCTGTAATCAGTCTGTAAGTCAAGGCTGCCTTATACTATTTTAAATTATAACACTGCTTATCAAAAGGCCAAAGAAATGGGAAAATACCAACTTGGCTATCACCAGAGAAACAAAATATTGTATTTCTTCCCTAAAAATGGCAATTATAAGAGATGTTTGCCTATGTATCTGCTATGAGGCAGAGACACTGCCCCCAAATCTACACAATGAGATAGAAGGAAAAGGTCTTTATTTAACTATTTCTCCCCCCAGATCTACAAAATGAGATAGAAGGAAAAAGTCTTTATTTTAATCAGCCTTGTGGACCTCCAGGACCCATTAATGTAAGAATAAATGTTATTTCAACCAAGTACTTTGTGAAGGCAGTGGGTTTCAGAAACTAAATTATTTATGTGAAACAGCGTTTATAAATAGAAAATGTCAATTTAGAATGATCGGGGAGGTAAAAATTTATGACCAAAATAATGTGGTGTAGCTAGATTAAGGAAGAGCGATTCTGCCAAGTGAACCATAGGAAATTTGTATTTAATAATATTACTATTTCCGCAAGAAATCTTTTAAAATCATTATGTACAATTTAAAAATTTCAAGTTTCATGAAGCAGATGAAATTGAAAGGAAGCACTATTTTCATGCAATAATATTTACTTGGCCACAGTGTTCACCTAAGACCTCTCCAGGGTTTGTGGGCCATAAAAGCAAAGACAACCCAGGCTAGTGATAGAAAAGTAAACTGGCTAGTAGCCTAAGGAGAAAGCAAACACAGGAGAGCTAACATGACATAGAGGGCCAGGCCTGCAGGATCTACTTCCTGAGCCCTGCTGGGGCATTTACTAGCTTTCTGGAGTTTACTCAGATGTCCCCTAGGCACCTCGCACTCAAGTCAGCTAGAATGTAGCTCCTGGGCCTGAGTTCTCCCCACTTCCTCCCCCTGCCAGATTCACCTTCCTCACACACCACCTTGATCGGATCATCCCTCCTCTACCAGGCTCATTCCCCAGTAGTTCCCCACTTTCTTCCATAAAGTCCAAACCACTGTCGTGGCTCACAAAGCCTCTACATCTGGCTGCCACTGCCTTTCCCACTTGATCCCCCCCCATCCCACTTAAGCTAACACTCAGCTATAATCAACCTTGTCACTCTACTGTCGCTGACAAAGCTTTCAGAATCCCTGTCTCCAGAATGTTTCCTCACCACATTTTCTACACCTAGAAACTTCCTCCTGTCATTTCAAACTTTTTTCGCCCATTCTAAATGCCTTAAATGCCTCATATTGTGAGGGGCTTCCCTGTTAGAGCTACCCAATGGTCTCCCTCCTGCCTTTGAATCTTGGCACTGCCTCTGTACCCACCTGACTCTTGTGTAGATAGAGTTTTAAGCTCTTTCTGGTCAGGAATCATGTCTTTTATTTATATACATCCCCATATGATAAGCCAAGTGCCCTGCACATAGAAGGCACTCAGCAAATACGTGTTGATTGAAACCTACAGCGGTGAAGTGTTTGATAGTTACCTTGAAAAGAGGATTTACTAGTATGGTTGACTATTGGTAGGCAAGGCTGGAACAACTTAACTAAAATGGGATCTTGAGGACGCCTGGGAAAGATGCCATTTCACATAGAGAAACATGGAGAAAGTTACAGTCCATTCCATATATAGAAATAAGTTTGGTAAGGCTAGGACTGAACCAAGTCTTTCAGCAAGCCCTCCATGGGCAGGGATGGAATCCTATTCACACATATGGCACCTTTAGTAATTAGTGTAGAACTTGGCTCATAGGAGACATTCAGTAACTGTATGCAACGTTATTTAAGGAATATGCAAATAATGCTTTTCAGGACCAGAATTTCCAATCTTGTGACCGGAATGCTATCGAGACAATGAATTACACTTGCCAGGAAAATGATGGTGTTTGGCAGTACACGTGTCTGAAATAAAGCTTCTTTTTCCACCAATATTTGCAGTGAGATCTTACTGTATCTATGGATACTCTCAGAAATCTTAAAGCAAAGGCACAGGGAAAAGACACTGAAAGAAGGGAGATGTGTGAGTGGGGAAAGGAATAGGGGAATGTGGGGAATGGAAAAGAAGAAATGGGTCACGGTTCTAAGAGAAACAGAAAAATGCTATCCCCTATTACCCAGGATCTACAAATCATGCTAGCATGTTTAATGATAGAATAAAAAAGATTAAGACAATATCAAAAAATAGTAACAAGTCCAGCACTTCCTAACTTGGACATGACTAATAATAAATCCAGATCTAGGGGTGCCTGGGTGGCTCAGTGGGTTAAAGCCTCTGCCTTCAGCTCAGGTCATGATCCCAGGATCCTGGGATCGAGCCCCACTTCAGGCTCTCTGCTTGGCGGGGAGCCTGCTTCCCTTCCTCTCTCTCTCTCTCTCTGCCTACTTGTGATCTGTCTGTCAAATAAATAAATAAAATCTTAAAAAAAAATAAATCCAGATCTATTCTAATTCAACTTTGTTTAACATGGTTGGGAGACAACTACATAATAACAAGCATTAGAAATATGGATGTAAATAGTTATTTGTGAGCTTATACTGCTTCAGTTACTGACTTTAGACCAAAAACAATACACTCAGTGCTCACCCAGAATCTACACAGTCAACTGGAGAAGAAATAATTTCCCATTTTTACCACGAACTGTCCCCAAACTGGGACCAAAGCAACAACCAATTCTTAATGTCCTTCCTCTTCAATGCTCTTCTACATTAGCTTGGCCCCATCTGACTGAAATAATTCTCTTCATGACTTTATCTTTTGCTCAAATGGCAGAATAATGAATAGAATAAAATGCTGCATTTCATTTCACCCTTTATTATTCCATAATAAAACCTTGTTACAGGGGTTTTTTTGCCTATAAAATTAACTGCCCATAACTGATGAAAAATCAGAAATTAGAGTTCCTAATATAATCCATGCTGTGAATTAGGCTAAAATATTTATGTAGTCTAGAGTAACAGGGAAAAACCAGAGTGAAAAAAACTTGAAAACAAGTATTCTACTTCGGTCAAACTCTAAAGAAAAATGTTGTCCTTATGTGTGAAGGGCTTTGAAAAAGAAAGACATTTCAGAGACAACAAACATTTTAAAAATTACATCAGCGTATGTTTGGAATACACACTGCTTTTCGTTTGAGAATGCAGTCCAACCTCCAACGATTTCCTTCAACCACCGGGCGTTTCAGGAAGATTTCTGGACTCAACCTGAAACCGGAGAAGCAAGAGTTTAAGAAACTAAAACAAAATATAAAGTTCCAATTGTGTCGCAGGAAACAAAGGCAATTTTAGCCCAAACGCCATCACCCACCTCCAGTGTGGCGGGTCATTCAAAGTTCTGCTATGAGTTCACATATAACTTCACCTGGGAACAAGAGCCATGAGCCATAAAAAAAGAAAAAAAAAAGCCTTCTAGCTTTCTCTCACGTACAGATACATACACATATGTGGATACTGTTGATGACCTGGCCAACAGCCATTCTCCAGCTTCTTTCTTCAGTTGGAACCTCAGCCTAACTCCTACTCTACCCTGTGAATATTCTACAAGACTTGCTTCCCCAGACTCCTGTGGGCCCAGAGCATGATGTGACCCAATCCTGGACAATAAGACATACCAGAAGGTACACGTGGGGTTAATGGGCAAGTATTTCCTCTTTGATTTCTGCCTTACACACACACACACACACACACACACACACACAAAACAGGGAAAGTAGCAGTAGGACAGATGTTGCATGTGGATATGCTTTTTATATCATATCCAATATGGACAGCCATATTGAAATTCCAAGGGGAAGACCAGAACTCTGAAATCACTAGACCATTTCACCAACTTCAGGACTGCCTAACTGTGGCTTTCTTACTAAAGGAAACAAATAAATTCTCACTCTTGAAGCCACACTTGGTTGAGCATTTTGTTCATCCAAACCAAGAGTATTCTAACTGACAAATATAAACCCTGACTTCCTATACCAGCAAGGGGTGTCCACAGGACCCCATGGCTTTCTGAGCCGGGAAGAAGGCAGGTTTACTGATAGAGGAGATTTTTGCAATCTAAGAATGAACCCCTGGGCTCTTCTCTTTAGTGCTACAGGCAGCTAAGAGTACAGTACAGTCATTATTTTCCCCTTTGGGGTTGAGCTCTAAAGTCAGTATCTGAGGTAAACCTGTATGTGATGTAACTCCTCTATAACAAGGAAAAACAAACAAACAAAATGAAAAACAAAGAAAACTGTAGGGCATCTGAGTACAAAAGTGACACAAAGGTAATCTATGTCCAAACAAAGAAACAAAAATGCAGCAATTGATAACCAAGGATTGAAAATGAATTAAAAAGACATCTGTTTTAGGTAGAAAAAATACATTGCTGTACAACACAACGTGTGTTCGCTGAAGGTGAAAGATATCCGGTAATATATAGATACTTGCAATTTTTTAAAGATTTATTTATTTGAGAGAGAGAGAGAGAGCTGTAGAAGGGGGCGGGGCAACAGGAGAGGGAAAGAATCCTCTAGCAGACTCCCCACTGTGCGCAGAGCCCCACATGGGGTTTGATCTCAACCCTGAGATCATGACCTGAGCTGAAATCAAAAGTCGGACCTTCAAATGACTGAGCCACCCAGGTGCCCCTTGTACACATTAATTGTAAAGTCAGAAATCTTCCATTTGGGTGGCAATTTTAATGCTATACTGAGCAATTAATTCTTTATCATTCTTTATTTAATCTATGAGCACTGTGTACACTATACTGTCACTTTTGCACTCTAAATTAAATATGTAAGTATTTACATTGCATACACCTCACTATTTGCCTATTTCCTTATTTATGTTCTCCAGTATGTGTTTCCTTTAGGTCCTTTATCTTTGTGGTTTTATTTTTCTCTAATGGAATGAAATAGAGCATGAAAAGATTTTGGAAATTTCTTTAGCTCTTTGAAACCCTGCTGGTCTGACGTGCTTGGAGGACTCCCTAACAAGGCAGTATCCAGTCCAGAATTCTACAGGCTTTAATCCTCGTACAGTCTACTCTTGCTCTTCTAAATCTGGCATTTCAGCAGATAAGGTTTTCTTGTCTTTCTTTCTTCCTTTTTTTTTTTTTAAGATTTATTTATTTTAGAGAGAGAGAGAGAGAGCATAGGAAGCAGGGGCAGAGAGAAAGAGAGAGAGAGAGAGAATCTCAAGCAGACTCCCCACTGAGCACCGAGAGGCAGGGCTGGATCTCACAACCTGAGATCATGACCTGAGCTGAAATCGAGTCGGCCGTTCAACCAACTCAGCCACTCAGATGCCCTACAGTTTTCTTTGTTTTTCAAAGCAACCTTGCATTCTTTGGATAACCTCACTCTGTCATCATCTATTATCCTTCTCATAAGTTGTGGTGTTTTTTAAATTCTGAATTCAATTTTTAATAGACAAGGTTGCTTTAAAAGTTGAAAAATCAATCAATACAATTCACCACATTAACAGAAAAAAAAATAAAACGATCAATTCAATGGATGCAGAAAAAGTTTTGACAAAATTCAATACCATTTTTTTTAAAGATTTTTTATTTATTTATTTGACAGACAGAGATCACAAGTAGGCAGAGAGGCAGGCAGAGAGAGAGAGGTGGAGGCAGGCTCCCCGCGGAGCAGAGAGCCCGATGCGGGGCTCGATCCCAGGACACTGGGATCATGACCTGAGCTGAAGGCAGAGGCCTAACCCACTGAGCCACCCAGGTGCCCCAATTCAATACCATTCTTAACAAAAACTCTCAAATCATAGGTATAGGCAGAAAGGAATTTCCTCAACATAATGAAAGGCACCTATAAGAAATCTAACTAAAGGGGCGCCTGGGTGGCTCAGTGGGTTAGGCCTCTGCCTTCGGCTCAGGTCATGATCCCAGGATCCCAGCACATCAGGCTCTCTGATCAACGAGGAGCCTGCTTCCCCCTCTCTCTCTGCCTACTTGTGATCTCTCTCTGTGTCAAATAAATAAATAAAATCTTAAAAAAAAAAAAAAAAGAAACCTAACTAAAGTGTAATACAACAAACTGAATGCTGAAAACACTGAGATTTCTCCCAACACTGAGAACAGGGCATAGACATCCATTCTCATCACTGCTGTTCAGCACTTTACTGATGGTCCCAGCCAAAACAATAGGGCAATAACATAAAATAGAAGGTATACAGATTAGGAAGGGAAAAGCGAAACTGTCATTATTCATACATCACACGATCATCTATGGAGAAAACTCGAAGTCATCTACAATGAAGCTACTAGTACTAATAAGTGAACTAAGCAAAGTTGCAGTATGTAAGCTCAATATTAAAAAATCAGTTGTATTTCCATACACCAGCGTGAAAAATCAGAACATAAAGTTTTAAAAAATACCATTTATAGTAACGTTAAAAAAATATTATGTGATAAATAACAAAACGTAGGCAAGACCTATACAGTAGCACCCCCTGATCCGTGGGGCATGCATTCCAAGACCCTTAGTGGACGCCTGAAACTACAGATAGTACCAAACCTTGTATGACTATCTTACATATACTCTGTTTTCCCCCATACACACATTCCAATGATAAAGTTTAATTTACAAATTAGGGACAGTAGGAAATAAACAATACTAATAAAATAGAGCAACTATAATAACTGTAATAAAACTGTAATAAAAAATAAAATAAATAAAATCATAAATAAAACTGTAATTTATTTTATGTGAATGTGGTCTCTCTCTCCCAAAATATCTTATTATACCGTAGTCACCCTTCTTCTTGTGATAATGGGAGATGATAAAATGCCTACATGATAAGATAAAGTGAGATGAATGATGTAGGCATTGTGATGTAGCTTTAGGCAGATTACTACTCACCCTCTGACAACAGGTCAGAAAGAGGATTGTCTGCTTCCAGACTGCGGTTGACCTCAGCTAACTGACACTACAGAAAGCAAAACCATACATGAAGTGGGACTATTGCGTATATAAAGTATAAAATATTGTTGAAAAAAATCAAGTAAGATCTAAATAAATGGAGAGATATATGGTGTTCATGAATTCAGGAAGAACATAGTTTAATGTACCATCTAACCAATGGGGACTTTACCATTTTTCCCCCATCTGATTCATCAGCCTGAAGGGAAAACCTAGCAACAGGCATTGGCATTCGTAGCGAGAACTCAAGTAGAAGTCCTCTGCTTCAGGCTTGAGAAGAAAGAATGGTATCTTCTGGCAGTGATGGGGTGGCAGCAAGGGGCTCACAGGCACCAGAAACACTGAGCGATTGGAACTTTGATCTCCAACTAGAAGAGCTGTGATTCCGAGAGGACACTGTAAATATTTATTGCTTGGCTCTGGACACAAACATCATTGCAGAAAGCACATAGTAGAGTGGGGAAAATAAAGTGCCACATTTCTAGTTAGAGGACTGAAAAAAAACAAAACAAAACAAAAAAACTACATGAAACCCAAAAGTAGTGGAGAGATCATGGAGAAAGCAGAGCTCAGGAAAGCAACCCTATAAAGTTGTTTATGAACTTCTAGCTCACTCCCATGCTGCCCTTGCATGGATTTGATCCTAAACATTATATCAAAGTTTGAGAACTGAACTAAGGATTAGACTACTGCCAAGGGATGAAAAAACATTCACCATGCAAATGGAAGTCAAACAAACAAACAAACAAAATAAGCCAGAGTAGCAGTCCTTATATCAGACAAAATAGACTTTAAAATAAAGACTATAGTAAGGAACAAAGAAGGGCAATACATAATAAAGGGATCACCAGTTTGAATCAGTAATCAAAAAACTACTAAGAAATGAACATCCAGGACTAGAAGGATTCATAAGTAAACTTTACCAAACATTTAAAAAAGAGGTAATATCTATTCTCTTCAAACTATTCCCAAAAACAAAAGAGGAAGGAAAGCTTTCAAATATATTCTATGAGGCCAGGATTACCCTGATACCAAAACCAGACAAAAGACCCACTAAAAATGAGAACTGGAAGCCAATATCCCTAAAGAAGAGAGATGCAAAAATCCTCAACAAAATATTAATAAACCCAAATCTAACAATACATTACAAAAAATCATTTGCCATAATCAAGTGGGACTTATTCCAAGGATGCAAGGATGGATCAATATTTGCAATCAGTTATCATTATATACCACATTAACAAGAGAAGAGATAAAAACCATATGGTCATTTCAATAGATGCAGGAAAG